TATATATATATATATATGTAGTATTAGGGTTTGAAAGGGAATTTTATCATGTTTCTATTTAGGACAGATGTCAATGTCCTGGTTTCTCCCTTCTAGAGCTGATTCAAGGGCAAGTGGCGCTCTGGACGTATCTCATTCCAAGGTTATTCTCCTCCAAGGGTTAGGTGGTGCTCCGGTTGTAGCTCGCTCCCAATGTGATTTTACCTTCTTCTACCCTTTTCCACGCCTTCCTACATCACTTCCCCTTCATCCAGTTCATTGTCCCCTTGTTGTCGTCACCAGAAAGTAATGCAGCCACTGCTTTTATCGTTGTCCCCTACCATCCAGCCTCGATCCAGCCATCCTCTCCCTCCCTACCCACTGTCAACTACCGTTCTAGCCACCTAAATCGCATCACTGCAGCCTAGCTGCTATTCCAGCACTTACCCTGCACTGCCATGATTGTTCTTGCTGGCCAAAATTGCCCCTAACCGCTGTTTTTTTAATGTCCAGCCCACCTATCCCCATGTTGTCGTCTCTCCAAACCCTCACCGATCACCACTACCACCCCAAGATCCATCCAAGTTTGAGTGTGTGTCGTATCTGTTGTTATTTCAGATTTTTAAATATCGTGTTGTTATATTTTCTCTTTCAACTGTGTTGATTGTAAACGCTTATTGGCTTTCAGTAATAATATTTGTTTTTTCTGTTATGATTTGAGCTAACTCCGGTATCAATAAGATTATCTAACATGACAATAAAGCTTCAAAATGAGATTTAAAAAATAGAGCAAAGAGATAAGATCAATTGTAACCTACCATCTTCCCTAACAATACCATCATGTCCATCAGAAGAATATGGATCCAAAGCTACATCAGTATAAATCACCTGTATATGTAATTTAAAAAAATCAGTAGGTTTAATACTCAAAATAAACTTGAGAGTTGAGAGGTGGAGAGTTCACTAACAATGTCAGGATATTTGTCCTTTAGTAGGCGTATTGCTCGAGGGATGAGGCCATTGTCATTGAACGCTTCATCTCCTGTTGGGGACTGTAAAGATAGAAATAGACTATTCTTATTTTACAAAGACGAGAAAATAAAAATTGTCAAAATGGGACGCGGGACCTTCAATGCATCAGGTATCTTTGGAAAAAGTACAAAGCTCTTGACACCAACATCTATGGCCTTGTAGACCTACATTAAGAGTCACAAAAGAAACAAATTAAGTACCCCAAACACAAGTGTTTTTGAAATATAGTACTTAACAGCAGGTGAAACCTCAAAACAATGACTACCACATAAAAATTGGATCTACCAATCTCCATAATAGAAAAGGAGGGAGGGAGAAAAAGATCAGTAGCTACCTCATCAAGAAGACCATGTCTCCATCCCAATCTGAAGCAACCTGGCATAGCTCCGATTGGAAAATCCTCCTCACCTGACCGAAATAGAAGAATTATTCCTTTCAGAACATAACATACTAAATGCTAAGTTGATTGATGACCCACTATGCTACTCACGTTATTCCTTAGGAGGAAAGATCATCATCATCACATAGTCATTATTAGCCATATCCCAACTTTTACATGTAAAGTTTATGAATCCTTCTTGATGTTCATAATTTAGTACCAGATCCATCTATTGAAGCATAATCCAATGACTTGAAGCAATACAAAACATTTGTTCATTCTTTTTTTTGCATCATAGATCACTGTTATTAGGAGCTTTAAATATGTTTGAGCTTTATGTAATGGGACATTATATGAGATAGTATATAGTTATCTTGTTTTGGATTGTTTTTTTCATTTTCAATTTTGAATGATTTATTATGTAATTATACCAAGGACCCTAAATATATAATGGTCTAGTTTCTATATTAAGAGGTAATGGCATTTGAAATTAAAAATTCCTCCATTAGTGGAGTGACCAGCCTTTGCCTCCTCCTTTCCCTCTTGTCCTCGACTCTTATTGAATGTGATAGAGAAATCCTAGCTGCGTGCAAAGACTTCTCTGTTGTGAGCACTGATTCAAAAGGAGAATGACGTTGTGTACTATGTTCTTCGTCATATTATCAACCAATCCAAACAATGGTGTTTCCAATCTAAATTCTTACATTATTTTGTCTCAAAACATATTTTTGTTTATTCCTTTAAGCACACTCTTCAATCTCCAACATTTCATTAGAGCTTCATTCCATCCTCATGGTCATGGAAAATTTTCCAAAATTATTCTCATATATTCAAATAAATAGGCTATCTTCATGGCCATCCTTTAATTATATGTCTGATGTCTATTTTGTTAGATATTTTTGAAAAAAATTATGGAGATTATGTGGAACTCAATTAAAATGATTACTTTTTCAAAATTAAATAAAGGTAGCTACTATAATTTTTGACAATTTACTGAGATATATATAAGAAAGAAGTATTAATCTATACCTGCCAACAACAAACTTTTTTTTTAGTAACACGATAAACAAAACTATTGGAAATTTTCCTTTCAAAATTATTAACAGTCCAAATCCTAGAAAACATGTTACATGCACACTCTTCCAACCCTAATCTTATGCATGCACATTTTGAGTATATATGATCATTTTGAAGCATTTCACTGACAATCAGGATGATGTTCAAAAAAAAAATTTAAGTTGTTAACCAATAAATATTAAAAAAACACCTAATACAACACGTCAGCATAGGGAACAAAACGAAGGTACTATGTAATGATTCATATTAGATTTGAACACCATCCACAAAACTCATTCAAAAAACTACATGCCATGGACTGTGGTCCATGTCAAGTTATTAGGAAATTAGAATCAAATGCTCATGCTTAAACGCCTGATATGCTAATAAGTCCAATTAGTAACATTGAAGATATATTATCATAAAGGGATGCTTTTGAGGCACAAGAATTGCAAGTTAACATGTTTATAGGTGGAGTCTCTTTTTGCTTCTTTTATGAAATTTCAATTACTTCCCACAAGACCTCTACAATAGCATAATTTATGGATTACTACAAGTTCCAAGGAATAGACCAGGGCCTCCTAAATGAGTATTATGCTAGTTAATATGCAAAAGTAAGTTCTTCCTATCCTATGGAAATTAATTCAGTACCACTCCAAATATTATAGCTCGGCATCATCTAATGACTCATGGCTTGAAAAATTTCAAATTGATTCCTGTTTTATTTCATCGATCACTTCTGTTAGGAATTTTGTGTATGTTTGAAATTTAGTAATGGAACATCATACAATGCATTACAAATCTACCTAGTTTTAGGTTGTTTGATTGTTTTCATTTCATAATGACTTATTATGCAATTGCACCAAGGCCCCAAACTATAAGAAGCTACTAATTTTCATTTTATGAGTTAATGGTATTTCAAAATAAAGCATCCCTTATCTTTTTGGATTACTTGTAAGCCCTCGCCTCCTCTCTCTCCTTTCGTCAGCTCTTATTGAAGATGGTGAGAATCGCCTATGGGAAAGGATTTCGAATTTTCCTATTGTGTGCAAAGATATGGAAAAAGAATGGTGTTGTGCGCTAAATTCTACATCCTATCATCAAGCACCAAAAGAAAAAAAATTAATATCAATCTAAGCTTCCTTGCAATCTTATCTTAAATCTTGTTTTCATTCAGTACACTGTGTTTACTCTTCAATCTCCATTACTTCTTGAGTTATCACTATTGAGTTTTGCATATATTACGTAATTTATCCAAATCTTTTTGCACAATATAGAATGTTTTATTTGTTCCACCATTTCAATCCAAATTTCTTCCAATTTTAAATCCTCTTAAGTTATTTTCTTTAACCATGAATTCAACAATGCTACTTCAAATTATCGCTCCAACTTTTCTAGTTGCAACAGACATGAAACATAGAATTCTCATTCAGTTATGCATAATCTGGTTTTTTTTTCACTAATACTCAATTCCAATCAAAAAAAGTGGAAATGATACAACATAAATTCCTTAGTGAAGCCGTCAATGCTTGATTTCAACCACTGACCTTCATGAATAAATAAAGGAAGCACAAAATTTGCAGCTGATATGGTAGTTTCCTGGAAAGCAGACCTCAAAGTAGAAGACTTTCTATTTCGACGGGGACGTCTAGTAATCACCTAGACAAGTAAACAGCATAAAGCATCAACATCAATTAAAATCAAAGAAATACAAAATTGAACTGCATCTTTCTCATTTCTAGAGCTTACAGAAAAATCTAAAACCCAGGGAAACCATAACTGAAAAATTACAGAATTTACTCAGAATTCATCCCACAAAATTATACCTAACTTTCATAATTTTGAATATCTATAGAATCATACATACAAGTGGCTTCACAACTGGAGTTCCTTTAGGGCCTGCAGGCTTAGTAAGAGGAGGAGGATCAGGGAAATTTCCAGCCACAGCATTGGCTTCACATTCCTCAATACTCAAGCCTTTTCGCTCTATAGCAGTCCTCTGTTCACTGCTTGCTCTAACAACAGGATGTTTTCCAGTTTTTTTAACTGATAGCTTGAAACCTCCACATTTCTGATCAATTCCTCTTACAACTTGAGGATTACATGAAGTTAATGGGAACATGGAAGTCATTTTCAATGTATTAAGCATTTCTTCTGACCAGATTCCTTGCTTTAGCAGAACAGAAAATCTACAAAAAAGAATTTCAGAAACTAAAACTCCTTGTCTAATAACAGTGAACTATTAAGCTGAGAACAAATTCAAAATAAATTGAAAAAACCTAACTTGACTGCCTTCCAACAAAAGACTAACAATTTCAGATAATATAGTGACATTAAATCTCAACAAGAAATTAAAACTACAAATGCTTCCAGAAAAACATGCAACCCAACGTCTAGTTAAAAAAAAAA